TCCTGGTTTTATCGACGGCCCCAAAATTCCAGGTAGGTTCGAGTACCACTGCTGAAATTTTCAGCCCAGGCCAAATTCGAAGCCGCGCTGAAATGATACTTGGATTCATATGCGGCGCTTAGTCGTCTGAGTTTTCGTGGTCTGAGGTCTGAGGTCTATATTTTTGAGGTCTGCGTTTTCGAGACACCCTGCGTGCAGACGCCTAATATGAAAGGAAGTAGTAGACTTCTGCACCCAGGCTAATATGTTACACCCGCTTTCAGTGTTACGTAGTTTTCTGGTCAATGAAAGGAAGCGAAAACATGACCATGGGAAGAGCGTCGTTGCTCTTGTCTGTTGCGCCACTCGGTACATTGTCAGCTACTATATTGGTAATAAATTGGTTAATGGTGGCATCAATCAGCTTTGAAGGATAGTCAAGGTTTCAGAAAGTCAACTTCAACGCCTCACATTCATCAGTGAAGAGTTTCCAACCTTAGTTCTAAAATCGGTGTCTCTCTACGTCCAGTCGTCAGCAGTAAGAAAGTCAGCAACATCCTCAAGACTCGAGAGCCAAAACCGAAGATCATAAGTGAACAATGCGTGATATATCATTTCAAATGTGGTCTATGCGACATGGACAATGTCGGTTTTACCGACCGACACCTATACCAACCCATTATCAAACACACAAGCCCCAGATCTTCGATTGGCAAACATATGAAACAACATGGGGTCGACAAACCAACTATCGCGGACAATTTTTCGGTCCTCAAAAATTGCCGGAGTAAACTAGACTGCCTTATTTACGAAATGTTTTTTATACAAGATCTCAAACTATCATTGAAACTCGATTCACGCGAAGCTACTCCAATTAGCATAATTATCACGCACAGAGGAATGCCGCCTGATATTCATAACTCAACCTTGACATTCAACGATTTTTATCTTGATGTTACATACGTCGAAACGTCGAATAACGTTACTCATTATATTTCTTGTTAAATGCTTTAACAAGCTACTGACGAGAGTAACGGAAATCACGATGACCGAAGCCGATTTTTGAAACCGTTAAAGGTCCCTACATTCAATGGTGGCAAACAAAAGTTTGACGATTTTTGGGCTCTCTTTACAAGTCTAGTAGACGAGTCAGCGGAGCCAGCGAATTTGAAAATGGCAAGACTACGACAATGCCTGACAGGGAATGCGCTGGAAGCCATCCGCGGTCTAGGATATCTCAACTCCAGAATACGAAGAGGCCAAAGAAATATTAAAAACAAAATTTAGCGGCGCGCGCCGACTTCTGCGAGCCTACATGGATCAACTAGAACAGATGCCATTAATCAGAAGTAAAGATATTCACGCTCTGGAGAAGTTTGCAGACCTTGTGCGAATCACAGTGGTAAAGCTACAGGCCGAAGGAAAAGACGGAGAGCTAGCTGGAGATGGAACTCTTCATAGTCTACTGATAAAGAAGTTGCCTGATCGTCAGCTAGAGAATTACAGCCGCTGGTTAAGCGAACGCGCGAGAGAAAAATAAGTCACAGCCTTCAGAGATTGGCTTAAAGACGAGGTCAGATTCCGAGTTGAAGCGGCGGAAATGGCGAACGGGATTGAACCGAAGACTTTCGAGCACGTTAGCCCGCCAAGAGCACCCAACTACCAGGATCTTGGTAGATTGCGAAATTTCCATACTGTTGTAATCGGGAATGGAATAAGAAACATGCGATCTCCCTGCTCTCTCTGTCAAAGTCTCGATCATGGTCACCGCTGGTAGTTCGCCAAAGAAAAGAAGCTATGTTTTCGCTGCCTAGCCACTGACCATAGTGGGAAAGATTGCAGAAAAGCCCGCATATGTGGAATAGATAGTTGCCCTCGAAATCACCACCGCCTTCTACATGGACTTGAAAAGTTGTCAGAAACCGGACCGCTGACTGCGTTGCCACGTGTTGACAAAGAAAGACACCCCGTCGTTCCTTGGAAGGGGGTGTCCGTTGTGACCATGACAAGCTGTAATGCCGAAACGCCAACTGAATCATATTCGTTACGAACTGTCCCTGTGTAGATGAAGGCTAATGGTAGAAAAGTGAAGATAAATGCTATCCTCGATGACGCATCAAATGAGACTTTCCTAAGCGAAGAAGTTGCTGGGGTACTGGGACTGCAAGAACCTTTTCAGAAAGTTCAAGTTCATGTTCTCAGTGATACAATAGAAACCTTTCAGTCCATGCCGTTAAAGATTGAAATTGAAAGCGTCGATGGGCAGTTCTCAAAAGAAATCAGCTTGTTTATATCAAGTGTGGACAGATCATAATTGTCCTGATGCCAAGGAATCCACTCATCAAGGATGTAATTAAGCATCTGATAGTTCTGCCTGCATCTTTGTAGTTGACTTAGGCCACGCCCATCAGATGCTTCGTACCATAAAGCAACCGTCTCAACGTATTCTGCTTCTGCAAGGTAGTGGTTGTCTTTGAAAAATTTGGCCACATGAAAAGAGAGCAATTTCTCAGTATCTGGTACTGACTGCTTGCGTGAAC